ATGAAGTGTTCAAAAGCCTAGAGGAAGGGCCCTGGTATACTGAGTACATTGAGTACATCTACTATGGGGAATTTCTGTGAAGTCACGGATGAGAACTACATGGGACAGGATGCAATCAATATTGTTCAAGGAAGCCACATGTTAATGAGGTCACAGATGCATTGAAGATGGCCTAAAGAAAGCAAATTAATATTGTGTTATTTTTTTTTTTTTGGTCTAGGCAATGGGGTTAAGTGACTTGCCCAGGGACGCACAGCTAGTAAGTGTCCACCTAGCAGCCCCAATATTGTGTTACAAAGAGTAAGCATATCGTAGTAGAAAAAACACTGAATTTTTTCATTAAAAGTCCTGGGATTTGAATCCTAATTCTAAGGGCATGTGGCTTTGGGAAACTGATTTTCTTCCCCTTTTTTGCCTTAGTTTCCTCATCTGTGAAATTAGAGGATTGGACAAGGTGGTCTCTCAAAACTGTTTTTGCTCTACATTCTGAGACAGGAGCTCATTCTATTTCTTAGATGAGGGACCATGAAATCCTTCAGGTCTGTGCAGGGGTGGTTCTTGGTTTGGAGGCAAGTCAATGAAGCAGGCTGGAGGACAGAGGTGCTGACAACTTTATTCACATAATAGCACAGCAGAATTTGGAATTAATTCATTCAACAAATAGTTTAGAGAAACAGAGTATGACGGGTGAAAGGATCCCTAGAGATGTAACTACCTCCATCCTTCAAGTGACCTGTCCAAGGTTGTACAGTTGATTAGTAGCAGAACCTAAGAACTCAATACTTACTGTGTGAATTATTTGAAACATCTATAACCATTGGATATTTTCCTTCTTTTTGAGTGGATTTTAAATTTATGGTGTTTTTTTAAATTAAGTACTGTCAAACTTCACTAATTTATGCTCATTGGAAGACTAGGCTGAATAAGTGAAAAATAGGAATTCTAGAATGCAAAGAAATTGAAATTTAATACTTCCAAATATAAGCAAGGCTAGCTAAATTCAACTCAGTAGGAGTAATCTGGGTTTCTACATTAATAAGTGGATAAGAATTAGATGTTTAGAAAGTTTGGTCTCATAAGCAGTTGGGTTGTGCTCTGTGTAGTATTTTTTATGTTTGCAATTTACATCAACACCCTTTCTTAGAAGAAGGGACAAGGGACCCTTGGGTTCAACCTGATGTCTGGATTATCAGAAATACTGAATTAATGGGGCTAGAACAGGGATCCCCAGCTAGTAGATGCAATAATTCTGTAAGATCCTAGAGGTACACCTGGAGGACTTTCAAAGTCCTTTGCCATCCCAGCTCTCCCTCTCAACCATATCTCTCTCCTGTTGTTTGTTTGGGTTCTGGGCAGGAAAGAAACCTTATAGACTGTAGGGTCTATTTCCTCACTCAAAAACTCAACCATTAGCATATTCTCTGCTTCCTAATTCCCCTGAACCTCTTTCTCTTCTTCTTCCAATCTCTAACTATTGGAAGCCTCAGCAGCCAGTAGGGGATAAAACAGAGACAGGATTGGTGATTTCCTTAATACCAGGAATTCTGAGGTGAGGAAACTCCTTCAGCTAAATTAGGGCAGCATCTTCTCTGTAACACAGAATTGCCTTGTATCCTGAGAAGTTGACTTGCCCAGGGTCCTACAGCCAGAACACATCCAAGGAAGGGCTTGAATCCAGTTCCTCGTCTTTGAGGCCAGCTCCCTATCCACTGCACAACACTGCCTCTCAGTGGCAAGCAGTAATAAATGGAAGAACTCCTGGATAAAAAAAAAATAATAACCATCTATAAAAGTCCATTATTTGTGTGGCAAAATCTAAGCACAAGTGGATAGATTGCTGGTCCTGGAATCAGGAAGATCCAAGTTCAAATCCGGTCTAAGACAGCTTACTAGCTGTGTGACCTTGGTCAAGTCACTTAACCTCTGTTTGCCTCAGTTTCCTCATCTGTAAAATGGGGATCATAATAGTACCTACCTCCCAGGGTTGTTGTGAGGATCTAATAATTGTAAAACCCTTGGCACATAGTAAGTGCAATATAAATGCTAGCTATTATTAGTCTTGTTATATCATCATCATTATTAATGATTATGATTATGGTCATTATTAAGCCAATGAAAAGCAGGACCTACTCACCAAATGTGGTTATCCATGGGTCATTCACATACCTATAGTAAGCACTGAGTTCTTTTGTTCCACTTCTGAGACCCATTGTTCCACCGATTTCTGAGACCATGGGCAAGTCACTTTTACTTGTATTCAAAAAGTATTCAATTTATTGGTGCTCACTATTTCCACCGCCCCAGAATGTAAACAGAAAGAACCACAGCAGCTCCTTAAATTCCAGTTAATTTCCCTGCCTTCATCTCTGTTTTCTTCCTCTGCCCTTTTGCTGATTCATTCTCAGGTCTTCTTTCCTCCTCCTCCTCCTCCTCCAGTTAATAAACACCACTGTGTATTCTTCTTTGGCTTCTCCTATACCTGTAACCTCTATGGCTCTTCATCTAACAAATGCTCTTGTCTCTCTCTTGTCATACATTTACTTGTGAACAACCTCAGAGTTTAAGCACCTCCCTGGAAGGAAGGAATTGTGATTATCAATTATGCCTGGATTGGCACCTGGAATAGCACAGGGCTGGGTCCTGCTCTTTGTGTAATGATGTTGCTGAATCTCCTTCCTCCCCCTAAAACTGGGGTTCCTTTTTTTGTCAGCAGTCAAGAAAACTATGGTATCCTCAGAATGATGTTTCTAAGTGCACAAAATAACATGTGCAGGAAAATGTGCAAAGAAAGCCTATACTATTACATAGTTACATATAGATATAAGCATACACATATATACATGCTACATATGTATGTATGTGTGTCTATGTGTATATAGACACACATACACGTTTTTGTTATTGTTTATTTGTTTTAGTCATTTCTGACTCTTCATGACCCCCTTTGGGTTTTTCTTGGCAAAGATACTAGAGTGGTTTGCCATTTCCTTCTCTAACTCATTTTACAGATGAGGAAAATGAGGTATACAGAGCTAGTGACTTGCCTAGAGGTTGGATTTAAACTCAGGAAGATAAGTGTTCCTGACTCCATGCCTGGCACTCTGTCTACTGGCCCACTTAGGTGTCCTATATATATACACATATAAACTATGTAATATATTTGCACATATAAACTATGTAAATACAATTATATGCTATGTAATCATATGTAATATATGTGTATACACACATACATGCATACATTTACAAGTTCATGGACCCCAGATTAAGAACCTCCTACTCTAAAATGATACTTTCAGAGATTTGGGCTTCCTTTATCGGTGTCCATTGCAACCTCTCTGCACCTTTATGAGTAGACATCATGAGTTGCCATGGCCAGAACATTTCACCACAGTGTTGCCATTCTTTTTGTGAAGAGTCCCTCCCCCCCAACTTGGACAATCCTCAACTGCCAGTGTGAATCTAAGTCCATCTTCAAAGCCTTTTCATAAACCCTTTCAGAGCTTATGTTCCTCTGACACAGTCTTAAAGCATCCAGCATTCCCCCATGCCCCAGTAAAGCATCCAAGTCAGACGTTTCTGAAGGTACTAAAGGGAGCTGTTACCAAAAAAGAAATAAAACAAAAAAACAAAAAAAAAATTCCAAGGACAGAGAGGTATACCTGTAATTGATTGTGCACACTTCTACTTCTGTCTGTATGTATTGTCTCTCATGTTTCTTTTTGGGTAAACACTCACCAGGGAAAACAGGGAAAACAGCCCAAGGTATAGCATGCCCCATACTCAATGGCCTGTGACATATTCTGTCCAGCTCATCTGGAACAATGACCAAAAAAAAAGAGAACCTTAGAAAGTAATTTCAAAAAGTATTACTTGTAAGGGAAAGTTACTGTCCAACTGAGACACCTATGTAACTTTTATTGTTTCTACAATTACCACTTAAATCGATAGATTTTTTAAAATTTTACATTTTTAAAATTTTGAACTTAAATATCCCCCAAAGAAGGTTTCCATACATACAGCAAATCATAAAAAGAAGATTCTATATGAAACTGTGAGTCTCCATTCCTACCACTGAGTTTTTTTAAAAAAAGGATTTAATAAATTCTCCACATTATTTAAAAACTGTCCTGCTTATCTGTGCTTCGTTTTGAACTTCTTTTATTTGCTTATCTGCATTTTTAGAAATATTACAATGGCTGCCTTTTTTTTAACCACCTTTTTTTAACCTTTTTTTTTTAACTCCTCTTCCCCTTTTATTTTCCCTCCTTATTCAATGGTGGGTAAAACAGGGAGCCCGAGAAGGGCTGTTACAAATGAGTATAGTCTAGCAAAATGAAGCCACAGAGCAGCAATGTCTAAAACTATGTCTCTGTACCTTGTATCCATCACCCTCTGTCAGGAGGTGGGTTAACATGCTTCAAGTAAGGTACCGTAGTTAAGACACAGCCTTATATTGTTCTGATGATTCTGATTTATGAAATTGACTCTGAAGTGTTGCTAATTTTTAAACTCAATGACTTGGCTTATCTTAAACTGAGGGGCATAATGGATCAAGATCCAGCTAGGAAGACCTGAGTTTGAGTGTTCTGTCTGAAGCACGACAGCTTTGGTCCCTTGGCAAGCTGCTGAACTTCCCAGTGTTCTAGACAACTGTGTAAGAGGTAGAGAGAGTTTTCTCATCAAGGAGCTCCCACTACAAATGAAATCCCAGGTCCATCCCCTATCCCTGTTCCTAACTCATTTTAGCCCTGTTCTCTTTGGGTATCCCATTGCATATACTACTCTCCATTTTGGAAAGTCTTGCATCACCTTTGGTTCGGAGTAACATTCGTCTAACCTGTTGAAAAGCAAAAGAAAAGATACCTGTTTATTGCTGAATAATGACAGCAGCTTCTTTTCCTAGAATGTGGTCCTGCCTCTTACCTGGTGGTCTAAATAACTTTATTAACCTGGGTCATTTGAAAAATAAAACCTAATAATTCATTATTTCTTCCCAGAAAATCATTCCGCACCTCCTGATGTTACCACTTACACCTCAGAACACTCAATACAAGTTGAAAGACCTCAAGGATCGACATCATCACGGACAGCACCAAAGTATGGAAATGCTGAACTCATGGAGACTGGGGATGGTATGTCTTGTAGCTTTTGCCCTTTTTTTCTCTCCCTTCTCTCCTCCTTTTCAGTTCTGATTTGCATTAACCCATCTTTCCATTCCCATAATTTGTGTGCTATAGACATCTGTTCCTTGTTTCTTTTGGCCATATTTCACTCGGAAATGCATCCACAGCCAAGGATCTTTTTGAACCCCTCAAATAAGGTGGCATATGGAAAGCAAATGACAAGCTCCAAGAAGTGTTCATCAATGGGATATGATTTCTTAGAGGAGGAAAAAGGTGAAATTTGAGGAATTTTGGATATGAAGAGAAGAAAGGAGACTCTGAAGACATTGAGGTTTTCCCAGATGTGTAACCAGGGTGGAGGTAGGGATTAGAACACGTGGACTGAGGACCAGAAAGGTCAAGGTGAAGTTAAGTGGGAAATAAAAGAATGGACAGAAGGCCACTTGAAAAGAAGGTGTCTGGGGCTCAGAAAGAGAAAAGGCTGTAACGAAAGTCAGCCGAGTTGTGGTCAAAGAAACCACCATTAAGTGCTACGGAATTTTCTTCTTGGGATGTTGTCAGGTGTTGGGGCCTTTTGCAGTTGGAGAGCAGATGGGTCCCAGCATCCCATGGATCCAGGTCTTGAATTTATTCTTGTACTTCCTCAGGCCCTGGCCCTTTCAGGTAACACTTGGGCTACAGTTGACAGAGCAAGGGTTTAATTTTCTAGATGAATGTCACACAAAACTTGGAGTGTAGAATTTTTCAGCACACTGACCTGGGGCCTGTGTAGTGTGGTGACAAATTAACCATGGTAGCAATCACTCTGGTCTTTCTGTTCATAAAAATAACCTTCCATAAGTTACCTAAACTACCTAATTCTTGTTTCCCCTCTTGGTAAAATGGAGAGAACAGTAATTCCCAGGGCTACCCTAAGAATAAAATGATAAAGTATTTGGGAAAACTAATTGGAAAAGTAATTAAGTATTTAGAAAAAGGGATTGTAAATTTATTAAGTTTGGGACCACTTGGGGTGTATTTTCTTTTGCAGGTGACAGGCTTGAAATTGATAACCCCACTAAATGTGGGTACCAAAGGCATCAATTTTAAGCTGCTAATAGTGATATCAGAGAGTAAGGGAGGGAACCATTGGCATTGGGCTCTTCTCTCTAATGAGAGAACTTATTACATGGCATGGATGAATTTTTTTGTGATTAAACAGACAGATGGATAAACATCTACCCCTGTTGTAATCAGTGACACGTTTTCTACAGGAACTGAGCATGCCAAAAACGCTGTAAAATTAAAATTGTAAAGAAAAGAATTTGGCATAAATTCATCATTTTAACGTTTATGTGCCAAATTGGTTAAGTACATTGCAATAATTTATTACTGAGTAAAAACATCTTAGTAGCAGGAAAAGTATCACCTGAATTAGGTTGAGAATAGATGCCTAATTAATGGGCATGTATATATTGATATGTGTGAAACTATTCTACATGCTAAGAGGACGTGGTTCAGTAATAGCACTGGTTTTGGATTTGGAGAAACAGTTCAGATCTTGGCTCTACTTCTTGAGTTACATGACCTTTGGCAAGATACTTCAATTTTCTGAGTTTCAACTTCTGTTGTAGAAGACTATAACAGAAGAAGGTTTGACTAGGTGAGCAGTTCTTAACCTGTGAGCCAAGAACTTATTTTTTTTGATAACCATATTTCAATATAATTGGTCTCATTTGTACTCCTGTATACTTTACCCCTCTGCATTTAAAAACATTATCCTAAAGGTCCACCGGTTTGAACAGATTGCCAAAGAGGTCCACAACAACAAAAAAGTTTAGGAGATCTTGAACTAATTGATCTTTAAATTCTCTTGGATGTAGTTCTGAATCTATGATAACCTCTGTCTTTTTATTTTATTTTATTTTTTACTTTGTTTAATTCCTCTGCTAAATTTACTATTTATTCAGCTGATTTTTACTGTTTTCATTATTATTATTACTCAGAGTTTTCTATGTGCATTTTTTCAGTGATTCACTCATGAAGAGCCTGGTGGGATGACCCATGAGTCACTGGATACAGTTATGCCAATGTTTCTTGCTATTGTTTGGGGACACAGGCCTTATGTTTAAGAGAGATTTAGGGAGAGTTCTTGGTTATTGAAACTTCCTATCTTAAAGGATACTATGTATGTGTTTGAAAACTACCAGAGGAAAAACTCTTTGAATAACAGTATTTTATTCTTGGCATTTTGGCAACACATACCTGAGAAACTTGTGCTTAGTTCTGTGTGCAACAATGTAAATTAATAGCATTCATTTTCCTTCTATGATTATTAAGAAAAAGTACCTTCACCTCAGCATCATAATTCACATTCAGCCTTAGGATGACTGAAACACACACTAACCCATTGATATATATCCAGTATCTTTTTATATGAATAAACTTTATTTTTCAAAGTTAATATATTACTTCTATGCAGGTTCTTGGATGAGTCTGCTGGTCTCTCTGAGTTTAGGTAGACTTTATACTTTGATAGTAAAAAACACCACCACCTAAATAGCTGTTTGTGAGAGTCTCAGCACTATTTCTTTAAATTTTCCTCCCCCTGCCATTTCAGATGAAGATTTATCCTTTAAAAAAATCAACCACTAATTTTAACCTTCATTTGCTCCTGTGGTTAACTTAATTATCAAATGGGCTACCAGAATTTGCTGGATTGGCTATCCTTTGCTTAGGAAAGTCTAAGGCACAAGTGTAATAGAATTCTACAAGTTTTGAGAGTATTTTTTTTCTTCAAAAAAAAACAAAAACAAGGTACTTAGAAAATCCTACAATTTATCTTTTCTTCCGACCTATTGAAAACTAGTTTGAATCATCTTGGAAGCAAAAAAATGAAACTTTTACAATGATTGTTGAAAGCATCGTTTATAAAGTGCATGTTAAATTAATATGTGTTCTACCATCTCATATGAATGATACACAGAATGTAGTGGGAATGGCAGTGCTACATTTAAGTAGCTTACACTTATGTAAATCTTTAATGTTTAAAAAGCAGGTTACAGAATTCATTGTTTTTGATTCACACAACAATCCTTTAAGGTAGATGCCATAGGTATTAGCATCCCCATTTTACAGAGGAGGAAACTGAGGCTCACAGAGGATAAATGATTTGCCTACAATTTCCCACCTCATAAATATTGGGTCTAGTTCCAAAGACCAAAACCCAGCTCTTTCATGATGTTGGGACCTGTCTTTTTCCAGTGGGCAACATTTCTCCTCATTGGCAGAACAACAAAGTAACACTATACATATTAAATAATGCCTGTGATTGCATTGATAAAGAAAACCCTCCTGGATGAGGGAACTCCTTCTACCAATACAGACTGACACCTTCTTTGCTACTGGTAGTTTTGGAGTTGCCTGACTTACTCAAGGTGACATAGCCACCATGTCAGAGGTGGGTCTTCCTGGCTTCAAGGCCTACTTTCTACTCTACCATGCTGCACATGTTAAGGGTTGGGAATTGGGCCAAGGTCATCATTAGCAACGAAAATTTGATCATGGAATATTCACGCCATAGAATCCACATAAAAAGACATAAAATAGTATTACATAATAGAGTCAAGTCTCCTTCAGCTTTATTCTTTTTCTGTCTGAATATACACTTATTCAACTAAACATGCTTATCTCAGAAAGCTGTTCTCTCAGTACCTTGATTCAGGGTAGAGTGTCAGCCTATTTGTTTGTTTTTTTAATTTTCTAAACAACCCTAGATCTAGGACGTCAAGCTCTTGTTTCATTGCCAATTATTGCCATATTTCCTTGTTTACACCCTGAGTTGCCTGGAAGCCATCTCATCTCTCCCATGGTCCCTATTCTCCAGGAGTACCCGTGAGCAGCCGAGTGTCAGCAAAGATTCAACAGCTGGTCAATACCCTCAAACGGCCCAAACGACCTCCGTTACGAGAATTCTTTGTAGATGATTTTGAGGAATTGTTAGAAGGTAAAAAAAAAAAAGAAAAGAAAAGAAAAAATTTATTTTTATTTTTTTGACTTTTGGATGTTGTTAAAATGCTATAAACTGTAATAATATTGTTTCTACCAGAGCTATTATCTTTAAAAGAAGAACATCTCATTCCCTGAGATGACAGAACTTTAGCAAAGACAGCTCAGTTAAAATAAAGGTCTCTAATGATTACCTTGAGCAGTGAGCCAGATGCTTGGTGACTCAGGATAGTGATCCAAAATTGATTATTTGATGCATCACCCTTAGCAGACTGTAATTCTGTCATCGGAGCCAGGGCTCCTCTGAGAGTACTGTAGTGTTTCAGAGGGGGTGTGAATTATGGGACATCCTAACTCACAGGAAAGAATGCTTCTCAGTGTGAGGGTATATTTCCAGCATGAAACACGATGCTACCATTTTGTTCCTTTTCTTGTCCCAGTGCAAAAATGTGAGTGCCTGGCATCAAAAGAGTGGATGCTTTGGTTTTCTTTAAAAAAAAAGGGTAAAAATCAGAAGAAGTGATAGATGTATGTAGAAAAGGAAATCTGCTTATTGAAATGAACTTGATCTTAAAGATGAAATCCATGTTTATGCAGGTGTTGGTCTTAGACATCAGTTGTGATATACTGAGAACAAGTATTATCATCTTGTTCTGTGGATAATTGCTTCTTGGACAATTATAAGCCATAAGAGATTCTATAAGGATGGAAGAAGTTGTCACCTACTTCTGTCTTCCTAATCCAAATTATTGAACTAAATACATTTTATTGTTAAGCATATGTTAGAGCTTTACTTAAGGCAATAGTCTTTTTTTTCCCTTCTCTACTCCTTTGGAAGTTAGTTATAAGTGGAAATGTTTATCTTGTTGATTAAGGGTACAAATATACTTTAGCAATAACAAGTGCTAATAAGACTTTTCAGAACCTAAAGTAATTTTTTCTAGGCTGATGACCTTTCTCCTTCTAAATATTATTGATATTCTAGTATAAATGGTTTTTCCGGTTCTGTTTATTTCATTCTGCATCAGTTCATATAAGCTTTCCCCTGTCTTTTTGAAATCATCCATTTGCTCATCTTACAGCACAAAAGTATTCATTTCATCACACTGATATACCACAACTTAGCCATTCCTCAATTGGAGAGCATTCCCTTACTTTCCAGGTTTTTGCCACCACAGAAAGAGCTGTTAAAAATATTTTTGCACTTAGAGGACTCTGTTTTGGACTATTTCCTCTTTCTTTGACCTCTTTTGAGTATAGGCCTACAAGACACAATGGTATAGCTGAGTCAAAGGACTTGCATTACTTAGTAACTATTTGTGTATTTTTCTAAATTGCTTAGTTATACCCATTCATGGATCCACCAACAATGCCTCCATATATGCATCTTTTCCCACAGCCCCTCCAACATTTATCATGTTTCTTTTTTTTTTTTCATCTCTGCTACTCTGGTGGGTATGAGATGGAATCTCAGAACTGTCAAATATTTTTTCACATGGCTATAGATAGCCTGGGTTTGTTCCCTGGACAACTGTCTGATCATATCCTTATACTATTTATCACTTGGGGAATGGCAATTTTTCTTATAAATTTAAATAGTAGAACCATAAAGGTTTTGACACTTGTGTTAGAAAAGATACATTTAAAAATTTTGCCTCTTGTCAGTAAACATGCTTGTGGTTTTCTTAAGACTCTTTGACCTATTGTGTATGGGTGTATGTTGGTGTGTGTGTGTGTGTGTGTGTGTATAAAATAAAATGCATAGTCATTTCATCTGTGAAAATAATGGCATTGTCCAAAATTCTGCCTTCTGAGAAATATTCATATGTAGCTCCTCTCACATAATGAGTTTAACCTTTCCTTTTTTTTTTTCCTATGGTGCTTTGAAAAGAAGACTGAATTTTATAGGTATGAAAATGGCATTTACATGAAACTAATTCTGATTTTGTAATTCACATACAAGTTCAACAACCAGATCCAAACCAACCAAAGCCAGAAGGAGCACAGATGTTGGCAATGCGAGGGGAGCAGCTGGGCGTGGTAACAAATTGGCCACCGTCATTAGAAGCAGCATTACAGCGATGGGGGACCATTTCACCAAAGGCCCCTTGCCTAACCACTATGGACACAAATGGAAAACCACTGTACATTCTTACTTATGGTAAGTAATGCCGCAGTGCTATTTTTGCCATGTTCCATTATGCTGGTACTTCCATCTATGTAGATGTCCACTGTCTTACCTCCCTTTTCCTGCCCTCTTAGATGTAGATATTCTCCCAAGGTTCTGTTATTGGCCTTCCCCTGCCTCTACATTTCTTCTATGAATAAGCTTATCCAGTTTTATGGCTTAAACTATCCCCTCTGAGGATAGTTGATTCAGACTTTCAGGACTCAGAGTTGTTTAACTTTAGCCTTGCCCTCTCTCCAGCCAGGTGGCACAGTGGATAGAATGCTGGGCCTGGAGTCAGGAAGAATCATCCTCTTGACTTCAAATCCGGCCTCAGATACTTCCTAGAAGTGTGACCCTGGGCAAGTCACTTAACCTTGTTTGCCTTATTTATTTGTTTGTTTGTTTGTTTGTTTTTTACTAGGCAATGGGGTTAAGTGACTTGCCCAGGGTCACACAGCTAGTAAGCATTATGTGTCTGAGGCCGGATTTGAACTTAGTTCCTCCTGAATTCAGGGCTGGTGCTCTATCCACTTTGCCATCTAGCTGCCCCTGTTTGCCTTATTTCCTCATCTGTCAAATGAGCTAGAGAAAGAAATGACAAACCACTCCAGTATCTTTGCCCATAAAATCCCAAATGGGGTCAGAAAGAGTAGGATACAACTGAAAAACAACTTAACTCTCCTCAAACATCAAACATGGATTTCTGTCTGTTTCATGTACATGTCTGTCTAAAAGGCCTGTTGTTAGCTTGAACTCAACACGTCCAGAAACAAACTCACCATTTTGCTCCACCTAAAAATAGCTTATCCTGGTATCCTGGTGTTTTTTTTTTTTTAACCATGCTTCCAAACTGATTGCCTTGGAATCCTCTTTGACACATCTCTCTTCTTCACCCACTGCATCCAGTTAGTCATTAAGTCTTGTCAATTCCACTGCCATAGGATCTCTCCCATTGGTCCTTTCCTTTCCTTTTCTGCTGTCAGCAGCCTAGTTCAGGCCTTCTTTGCTTCTTACTTGGACCCTCTTGATAAAGCCTGTATTAGTATATCTATCTGCAACCAGGCGTCCTTGATTCCCTCTTAGCTAAAGTGATCTCTGCTACCTTTGCTCTTCCTTAGCACTTTCTAACTTTCTTGGGGAATTTTTCTTGTACTGTCTTGAATCATAGTAAATTACATACCTAGTTAGTTCATCTCTCCTATATTATAAGTTCTTTAAGGATAATGACTGTGTCTTACTCATGTTTGACCGTGTCACAGAAGGAAGTACTTTTCACATAGTATGCATTCATTAAATATTTATTGAAGGAATGAATGAATGAATATTGCATTCTGAAAGTTATCCCATCACTTTCCTGTGCCCACTCAGGAGGTTGTTTAAAAAAAAAAAAGGCAAAACAGCAATTGCTTTTGACTTGTGACAGTCATTTTTCAGAGATGTTTCTTCTAGGGAAAAAAAAAGTCTGATCAACTGTTTTTAAAAGTAGTCATGTATGTGTCAGTTTTATAGTGAGTAAGAAACTACATCTTTGGCTGAGTGTGAACAAAGTGGTGCTCTGAGAGTCAGGAGAAGTTGCTACTGGTATCACTTAATAGAAATGTCAGCAGGTCGTTGATTTCATGCTAATTGCAGATTAGAAATTCTAATAAGGTGAGAGTATTTTGCCTGATGTATAATTAACAACTCCTACCTGGAGATCAGTACAACTCTACTCGGAGTGCCCCCTGACCTCCTTTAACATGAAAACAGAGATAATATGATGGTCTCAAGGCTCAAACAAGTTCTATTTGCCACCTGACACATGTGCCTGGTGATAAGGAAGCTCCTTCTTTTATACTAAGCCTTCAAGAAATTAGTCCTTCTATATGAGGAATGAGTGAAAAAAATAATTCATTACATAAACACTCCAGTGTCATGAATGAAGACAATATACAATATTTTGTTATTGGAATTTATTTTAAAAAGTTCTTGTGAATTTTAATACTTTCCTTGGATGAGTTGAGAATTAAACATTTTTTCTCTCTTGAAAGGCTTCCAGAAAAAATACAGCTGATTTGAAGTAAGAGACGGTCAGTCCTTGTTGGGTGGGCCAAAACTGACAATACCAGGTCTCACTGCAGAGACCTGGAGGCACATTGCTTTTTTCTGAATTTAACCTTCTGGCAATGCGTCATGGGACTGGGCTCAGTCAGGTCGTGTGATTGAAATGCATGATTTTGTTATCCCTTTCATTAATATTTGACGGCCTATATGGTATGCCAGGACCTGAATAAAGTGCTTAGCCTTAAGCCATATTCCTTAAGCCTGGGTTAAGAATCTGAACAGAAACATGGGAAAAAGTAAAAGATGTATGTTTAACAATCTGTAGAATGATGAAAAATTGGGTAGAATCCAAGTAAAGAAATTGGCAGGATGTGAGTTTAATGGGGTATTTGAGACAGAAGAGGAAAATTTTTTTATCTTATGCTTGTAAGTTTTGTCCTGTTTATATGATGTATAGCACCTAGAAACAGCATAGCATGGTGGATATAGGAAGATCTGGGTTTGGATTCAGTCTCAATCACTTACTTATCAACATGATCCTCAGATGGGCAGCTAGGTGATGCAGTGGATGGAGCATTGAGCCTGGAGTCAGGAAGACTCATCTTCATGAGTTCAAATTCAGCCTCAGACACTTAGTAGCTGTGTGACCCTGGGCAAGTCACTTAACCTTGTTTGCCTTAGTCCCTCATCTGTCAAATGAGCTGGGGAAGGAAATGGCAAACCACCCCACTATCTTTGTCAAGAATACCACAGGTGGGGTCATAAAGAGTCAGGCATGAATGAAACACAACAGCAGCAGCAGTGGTCCTCAGATAGTCACTTAATCTCTCTCAGGCACAGTTTCTTCATCTGTAAAATGTGTCTAATAATAGCGCCTACTTCACAAGGTTGTCTTGAGGACCACATGAGATAATTTATGGAAAGCACTCCATAAATGTCAGTTTTTATGAGTGTAGAAGAATACACCTGGGAATGAAGTGAATAAACAAAGCAAGGTGGGGCAGGAAAGTAAAATGGGACAAGAGGGAGTGATAAAGGAAGTGTGGTTGAATTAAACTTTTCACATGGAAAACAAGTCATTGGACATTTACTTTAGGTCTTAACCCAGAAAAGCTGAGTAAGTGTGTTAGGTCATCAGTGAGATTGCATATTCCTGTTGGACATGTTTGGTCATTATCGCTGTATGTGTGTGGTGTGGCCCCAGGTTCACAAACTCGGTGCCCCTCATGGCCTCTCATGATTCTACTCTTGTATTCCTCCAACAACAGATTACAGGGATAAGGTTATAAGCAATCCCTGTTGTTCTCGTACAGCTGCCATCTCCGGAGTGGAAATAGGATTTGTCTCCTGTTCTCTATAAATAGCATACAACTTTTCTTTAGTTATTTTTAAAGGATTTTCTTACTGTGTACTAGAGGGAAAAGCAGAATGGAATGATGATGATGATGATGATGATGATGATGATGATGGCCAACATTTATATAGCACTTCGGGGTTTACCAAGTGCTTTACAGATATTATTTGATCCTCACAATAACTCTGGGAAGTAGGTGCTATTATTATCCCCTTTTTACAAATGAAGAACTTGAGGCAGTCAGAGGTGAAGTGACTTGCCCAATGTCACACAGCTGATATGTGTGCAAGGCAGGATTTGAACTCAGGTTGTCTGACTTGAGGTCACATACTTGGTTGTATAATAGAAAGAGTCCTAGATTTGAAGTCACAAGACCTGATTTTCAATGTCAGCTCTGTAAGTTACTGCCTTTGTGACCTTGGACAAGTCATTGAACCTCTTTAGCCCTCCAGTTTCATTATCCATAAAGTAAGCATGCAGTGTTAAATTAATGGAGTCCTGAGGTCCTTTTCAACTCAAAAAAACTTTATGATTTTATGAAATATAATGGGAAGAGCTAATAAAAGAAACCTTATGGAAAGTTACGAAACCTGTTACTTGGCATTTAATCCTGGTTTTCCTTGCACATTTGTAGAAAACAAGATTTGGCCTATTCTCAGTGCTTCTTTCCTTTTTCTGATTTATCTTCTACTCTTCTAGATCTTGCTTTCAGTCATCTAGCCTATTGAAAATTTATGCTCTCTAGCTGATAAATACATATTTGGCAATGCTATAGAAAGCTTAGCTTTTCTGGAATCCCCTTCCCCAACCCTCATTAAGCCCTTGACCTTGACTGGTGACTCCCATTTCTAAGGTATCCTCAAGTTGAACCCTTTCATACTCCATGATTTTGGCAAGAGTCATGTGACTTCTCTTGACATTTGGGATGAGGAAGAATTATGCTTCAGTAAGACTTCCATTTCAACTGTCTTAGACCTTTTCTTAGAAAATTGAGTCTCCAACCCTTAACATTAACCACCTTTTGACTTTGAGAGCTTTCCTAGTTGGTTGGACATGATTGCCTTGTTCAACTGGTACTCTCAGTATTGTGAAATTGGCTTCTCTTCCTCCTGGTCTTAGATTGCCATCTGATCTCTCTCCTCCTTGGATGCCCTATGACCTCAGGACTTCAGGAATCTTTTACACTTCTTTCTGTTGAGACTACTTTCCCCATGCTCTAAATTTGTGACTCTGTGAGTGAACCCATGTCGTCTGCTTCCAGGATACTCTTATTTCCATTTCAAGTCCTATCCCTTCATGAGGATCCCTCCTACCCATGTTCCCACTTCAGGCCTTCTATGCACTCATCTCAAGGGTAAAAGTAGTAGTAATAGATACAGCATGAGCCTGGTTAATAGTGGATTCCTCTCTTGGTCCAGTATTTTTGCTCTATGTCTCCCTGGGTCTCATTATACTGAGTCCTGACTCAGGTCCATCTCCTGGTAGTGGTTTTTACAAGAAAAAATACATACATACTTGACACTCAAGGGGTACATAATATCAACCTATTTCTCCTCTATTAAGGATAGGGTTTTCTACATACTGAACTAGTTCA